GCTCGGCCATGATCGGGAGCTGTACGGGCTATTGTGAATAGCCCGTACAGCACCCCTTCGGTTCTACTGAACCGAAGGGGTCCTGGGGCCGAAGCTAGCCAAAGGATCGGCCGAAGCTACGGCCAGATCCTTCGGCAGCTTCGTGAATAGACCCCATAGAGGTCAAATGCTCTTTAGAAATGTTGAAATCTATCTATTATGTTGTATGCCTATGAATTAATCTCACTGAATTTAAATGTGATGGGTTCCATGCAAAAATCAGTCACAAATTATAACATGTTGGAGTACAGGACTTTACATAGATATACATGTGTGAGACTTCAGTTAGGCTTTAAAGTATCTTCTTTGTAGCTTACTTTTTCCTCTAAACTAAATTTTTCCTTTAATCTGATACGTTGGTAGATTTCATAAGAAAGCTGAGTATTGTATTATGTTACTTCTCAAATATTTATATACTCTAACAATTACATGATTGGAAAAGCTGCAATAGTTTGTGTAAGTTATACAAACTCTTTGAATTCTTGGACTTGATAGGATTTCCACAGCAAAGACAGTAAAATAATACATTGAAAACTGAGCAGCGGGCGGCCATAATGTCTTGCAAACCATAAGGGAGTTGACTCATTAGTGTGTGAGACCTGCATACATAGCACAATATGTATTAATAATAGAGGAAAGATAGCCGGTGTTCTACCTGACTGACACAGCTGGCCTGGCTAAGCGTACTGACAGCTCTCATGTAGCTCTGGTTCCTTGAACGAAATTTTGGAGAGTTATAGTTTCCTGATGGGTCCAGGACATGTCCCGCAGGCATTTCACTTGCTGCTTGTAGGTAACTCTGGCTACAAAACACAAAAGACAGTGTTGATAGATTCTAAATGAGAATATCGTCCCCGTTCATGCATAAAACGTATTTTATTCCTCTTGTCTCATCCATCTATTTCAGGTACACTGCTAAATACGATTGTATAGTTTCTGAAAATTCTATTTACGTATTCAGCTTAGAAAACAGTCGTAACAGCAATTTCATTCTTTATTGTTTAAGAAGGCAAGAATGGAAGATAAATTGCATTCCGTGTTTAGTATACAAAGCAGTGTGAGCTCAGGTGTGTAGAACTGCACACACTTAATAACCCTACTTGACAGCTGTATTTTTTTAATGCAAATGCTAGTATAAGTTCATTGAAAAACAATAGTAGCTTATGTTCCTTTCAGCTTACAATACATTTATTAAGTCATTTGACTTCCAAGGGTCAAAAATCATGGCTGGCAAAAGGTATGTAAAGTAGAATAGACATAAATCATTCTGCTAGTCAAAGGATGAAGGTAAGCATGAGGAAAGTTACAAAAGCAAGGCAAGGATGCAACTATGTACAATGCCCTATTGCAAAATAATTAGAGGCTTATTTGGTTTTCTAGCTTCCATTTTAAATGAACTCTGCCATGTCTCTTCCTAAATAGCTAGGACTAGAAGTTGATTTACTAAAGGCAAATAGGATGTTCACTTTGCAAGGGAATGTTTCCTTAGCTTAGTAAATAAGGTGAAGCTCTGCTAACGTCCATCATCCAATCATGTGCAAACATAAATACTATTTTTGGGGGGTTTTTTTGCGCTTGCATGTGAGTATTCCCTGCAAAGTAAATTTCTACCACATTCACTAAGGGAAGCTCCCCTTGCAAATTAAAAAATACCCTTGCAGCCCATTTGACTTTAGTAAGTCATAGCCATAGCTAATACTCTGCACTGGAAGCAGGCTTAATTCAATCAGTTGGCCACATACAGTACAGTGAAGCACCGCTTCAACCTACACTAGAAAATGATTCAGTCTGGTAGCTGTATGATGCTCACTTTTGAAGAAGGATGTTAGTCACCAGACAATTAAGAGGAGTCATGTCATTGCTTTTAAGGGAATTTTGCAACTATGACTTGTGCTCTTCAAAAATAATTATAACTTTAAGTAATGTCAGTAAGTCAGAATACAATTAATTAGAGAAAGCTCTGCTATAATGACACCTTGTACAATGTGAACTGATTATACTGCAACAAATACAACTGGCCATACGTTTTACATAATGCACTTGTATGTCATAATGAGAAGTGGTTAGCTCTCGTAGAATACAGTAGATCTCAAATATTTCAGACAATAAACTGAAATAAATACTTTAATGTTGCTGGCAAAGAATTTGTGACATAGAGCTCTTACATAAGCCAGTTTAGCAAGCTAGGATCCCATAACAGAGCAACATATTTATGAGTGATAAAAATAAGCATCTATTTATATGCACTGCTCATGAAATGTTTCAGGGAATGTTATGGTAAAAAGACAGAAAGAGTGAATGGAAGCAAAGGAAGACATATCTGGCATAGATCTGGCAGTAGTGTGACTTTACTACTAATGGTAACAACACTGGAGATTGCCCACTTAAAGAAATATAAAAAACAAATACTTTTATGTGATGTAATAAACATTATCAAGGACATGCTACTATGAGATACCCGCATTAACTGACACTTACCAAGAAGAAGCTGGCCCACACATTACTGTGAACCTGTGCTATGCCCATTAAGGACAAAACAACAGGTTCACTTTAATGCTGCAGCAGCTTATACTTACCTCCCCTTTGCTCCACTGCAGATTAGTTCAATTGTCTTGAGTGAGGAGAAAAAGCCATGTGTGAGTTCAAAGTCATTGACTTTCTACCCATTCAAATGAAAAGTCACTGGGTGCCTGAATGGTCAATTACCTAACACCAGGGCCCAACATGGGACGAAGGAAAGCAAGTTATATACTCCCCCATACCTGGAATTACTTGTATGTCACTTTGCTTCCAGAATGGAGCAGTGTGGGTGTGAAGGAAGGGTAAGTGACAACAAACTCAAGAGTTTAATCTTAAAAATGCATTTAAGTCCCTTAAGTATTACCAAACATGTAGCTTATTTGTGTATCACTCCACTGTAGATACTCAAATTATTTCTGAAATGGTGCTGACACTGTCCTTCCATCTGGAGGGTGGCTGCTTATGTTCCCCATGGTCCCTGTGTGTGTTATAAAGTAGCTACCACTCCAAGCTCACTACAATCTCATGTGGTTTACTAATTTGTATTGAGATTGTAGTCTATTACGGGAGTAAGCTTGTAGTGGTGGCTACTTTATTACACACACAGGGACCATGGGGAACAAAAGTAGCCACCCTCTAGAAGGAAGAACAGTGTCAGCACCAATTCAGAGATGATTTGAGGATTTACAGCCAAGTGATGCACAAATAAGCTACATTTCTGTTAATAGTTAAGGTACTTGAATGCATTTTTAGGATTTAACTACTGAGTTTAGTGTTACTTTAAAGTGAATATGTGCAAATATATTTTAGTACTTTTTCATGTCTGAATATGTACATCTAAATATGCAAATCAGTTGTCCTGGCAAACCTAAAGATAATTATTGTCTGTGTGTGAATCATGAATTGCCCACAGAAAAGAGGGAGAGGAGTAATATGTAAATCATGTACTTGACGTAGGCACAGTCACACGTCTCGTGGCAGCCCATTCAAGTTGGATGGGAATGAAGCGGAAACTGTTTGTTTTTTTTTCTTTAATTTTTGTATGGTTTATACTTGCTAGTAAGTAGTGTAGAGGAGTTGTACTGTGTTTAAGATTAGTTTAAATATAAATAGCACTTCTTGGAGTTGTTCTCTAATAACCTAGAAAAGCACATTCTGTTACTTCTCTGTCAGTGAATTGTTTACCAGCACATGTTGCCCAGTTCTGACTAAGTTTAACAAATACGTAGGGCAGCAGAATAGTAAATAGTAGCTGGAGTAAGGGGAGGTGGGAACTCCTAAATGGCAATGAATTAATTTTTTTGACTCTTGTATTTGAGTTCTTTAATGTCCTTTCTTCTGCTCTCTGCTATATCATCTTTTCCTAGCTATATTCACGCCATTGAATGCTATGCTATTTTTCTTTATAATGGGTGCCTATAATTGTTTGGGACAGAATATGTCACCAGCACACCATGGATCTTTTATAAAGTCCACATTTTTCTTGAAGAGATTAAATAGAGCAACATTTTGAGGCCAGTAGAACCCCTTGGCCAGACATGCGATGGTATCTAGAATGGTTTGGTATAATTTTTTTTTTTTTTTTTAGCTGGCATCTATGACACAGGATTCAAATAATATTATGTTTTTTTTTAAAGAGAAAGCAGAGAACAAAAGTTGTTTCCTTTCACATACTCAGTCTAAGAGAAAAATGTTAGTGCCTTTTGAAGGGGAGGAGTTGGAGGAGAATGTGTGTATTACAGTATATGGTGTAAATTTAACCTGAGCTCCGTACAACAGACTTTTCTCAACAGAGGAGATGAGGAGATCCTGGAGATTTTGATTTCCCAAATGTTGAATGTGATGCTGGAGTTTGGAGCATGGTTTGTAATTATCAGAATGTACATGGCTATAACACAGTAGCAAAAGCTTTACTCAGGCTGAACTCTGAGTTTATTACTCTAATGGCTTGAATCAAAAAAATTCAACAACTTTTACAATTCTTCAATGTGCAGCTGAAACAAGGGGTTGATTTACTAAAGGCAAATGGGTGGTTCACTTTTCAAGGGAATTTGCACATTGCAGGGCAAAATACCTCTTAGTTAAGTTAATGTGGTAAAGCTCTGTTGACTTCCATCTTCCAATCATGTGCAAGCAAAAATCCAGTTTTTTTAAAAGTTTCCTTGCACATGATTGGGCATTATGTACAAAGTGAAATGTCAACACATTCGCCAAGCTAAGCGACACTTCCCCTGACGTGCAAATTTTCTTGCAAAGTAAACAGTAAATCAACCCCTATATCGCTGAGAAATTCTAATTATTGGCTTATGTTTTTGCCAAGAGCACATGATTGATTGTGTGGAGGCAGTAAACACTGGGGCTTCAAACTTTGCTAATCATAGTTCTATATTGTCTTCAAAATGGAACCTTTTCCCTAGAGGCAGTGCATCCTTAAGTCATGACTATGACATGGCATATGGATGGACTGCCTGTCCCTGCGCTGACCACATAAACATTCCTGAGAAAAAGACTGAAAGAGGACTTCTATTCAGCTGCCTTTGCATGGATATACACTGCTTGGTTAATATTTACTATATAGATACAAGGTACATTCAACATAGTAGATACTGTTTCTGATCTGACTCACAGGTCAATGGGTAAAGGTTAAGGGTCAAAGGGTAAGGGTCAAAGGTTTGAAAGTGTCAAGAAAACAACACTGCGGTTTTTCAAAGCATTTGTGTTAGTAGTTTACAGTAGCACAGTTCTATCACAGCAACTTTATTTTACTCCCTTGAATGTTGTCCCTTACAAGACAAAGCAGCAAGCATCAGGAAAGTTGCCACATTAGTGTTCTTTTATTTTCAGGCTTCGTTTGCTATATTTTTGCCTAGTGAGCCAGTAACTGGTGAATGCATTCTCCTTAGTTAGCAATGTGGAGTCTTGTCCTAGGGTGACAATGCTACTCCTCCATAGATACAGTATGGTGAGTGTAAGTTGCCACCCTAGGACTAGAGGTGTGTTACACCTGATGTCCTCCGGCCAATAAGCCATCAATAACCACTGATATCACCCAGTATTACAGACCAATTCACTTGCCTCACAAAAAGGGTTTTATAGCATAAAAATATATGTAACACCCCATAGTCCTAAAGCCATGCCAAAAAATGGCACCAGCAAGTACCACCTATAAGTAAGGTCATACACATCTTACAGACCTGTGCAATATTTTTATGCACTGTTACAAAAGGCACAATCTCTAGTAGACTATACATTGTCACTTTCTATGTTTTGAGGTGCTCTATGT